TCCATCCAGCCTCATCCCCCCCCACGAGGCAAAGGCACAGAAACAGGCAGAGTCACTTTGCATGCCCCAAACCACCAAACCCACCTCCTTTACTTGGTCATTTCACCAAGATGATGTAGCCCAAGACCCAGCTGGTCCCTGGGCTGCTCTGGACACTGCTTCAGTCCCACTCACAAACGCATTACACCAGGAACTGCACCAGCCCCACACACGGGCAGGACCCTTGGTTAACACTGGAACCCCCAAAGCCTCCATGTAGGATGGCAACGAGGATGTGCAGCTAATTAACTTCCTAGGAGTCACAGATGAACAGGAAGAAGCACATTAAGAATGGGAACTTGTGACGGGCACGTCCCGGAGGGATTAGCAAATTGCATAAGAGGAACCTTTATTCCGATTATAAATTAACACCAGCGACAAGCCCCTGCACATTTTTACTGCCTCGTGAAATAATTAACCCGTCACATCCAGCTCCATGCAAATCAGGAGGGAGGGAAGTATTAAAAGCTCTCCATCTTCCCCGGCTGGAAGCACAGAGCGGGAGCATCACCAGCATCCTCAAACTGCACCCACGGCACTGGCGACTGCCCTGACTCATTACACCAGTGCACCCAGAACACGCCAGGAACCACTGCCTAGCGAACCCCGCACTAAAAGGATGCTTCCCATGATCTAACCCAGCTGTGGTTGAGCCCTGAGAATGAAACTGCAGCTTTAAATCTGCATCCAGACCCGCAGCGGGTGCGATGGTCCCTGCGCCCCCTCGTGCAGCATCCCCCTCCCAGCACCAGCCTCAGCTTTCGCCCAGTAAGTGACCTGCATGGATTTAGAAAGCAAAATAGGCATCCTGGAGGCACATGGTGAACCAAACACCAGGAACCCTTGGATGTCAGTTTATCGAGTTCCCAAAGTCTTCCCGAGGGGACCTGCCAAAAATAGCTTCAAATTTGCTGGACCAAGTGCCCTGTCCCAGAGGATATTCCAAAAACCTCACATAGCAAAAATAGGAAAGGGAAGGAGCACAACACAGTCACATTTAGAGGGGGTTAATGGGATCCAGCCTCCTACTATGAGCATCCACACCCACCCCACGGGAAGATCTGCAGCCTGCTCCCGAAAACCATTAAACAGCTACAAACAGCCCCAAAGGGTCTCAAAACGGGTACGAAACACAAGCCCCAGACCCCAGGCAGGGGTTTTGGCCATGCTGGTCCTGCCTGCAGCACAAGGGGCCCCACAGAGCACACACCAACCCAGGCAAAAGGCTTTTAAAGGGCACTTTAGTTGCTGTTTGTTTTTAATCTCAGGGATGGCTCACCCATCACATGCAGCTTTATTGATTTACCTTGTACTCAGGGGGGAAAAAACAACAGACCCTGTGTCTAAGTGACAAGGGAAAAACCACATCCAATTGAGATGGTATTTCCAGGGCGGAATTACAGCCCTGCCTCCCCATCCTTCCATCCCCAACCACCTTTTCCACATCCCTGACCATCTTTTACACGAGAAGTATTGGCAGGCTCCTCGTTAGAGCTGAGTAATGGCCCATGGGCTCTCTCCCCGGATTATACATTAACTCCCGGTGCTCCTGCAGCATCCTCCCTCCTCTCCCTTCCCCTCGACCACCCAGCAGCTCTTCAAGGGAGACCCCGAGCCCCAGAGCATCCAGCCAGGTCCTGGATCGAGCTTGGCTCTGGCTGCAGACCTGCACCCACCACACTGGGAGTGACAGAGCTGCTGTCAGTGCACGGACAGATGTTTCCGAGCAAAATGAAGCCTGGAGGTAGAGGAGATGGAGCTGATTAAACCTCATTATCCTATTTAGTGTAATGATCAGAGCTGAGGGGACGTCATGCAGCTGGGAGTGGAAGGAATAACACGCTTAATAAGTGCCTATGTTATGGCAGGTAGAGCCGAGCTGATGTGCAGCCCACAAGGGGTTCATCACCTCGCACCACGGCCAGCTTGTTTTCTCCTCTCCCTTGCCTATGCCTCATCTCCAATCCACCCGCATCACGTCTGTGAATTCCCACTTGCCCAGAGGAGAACTTAAGGGCACTGATGTGGAAAAGGCAGCTTCAACACAAGCAACCCCCTGGGCCCAGACCCAGCATCCCACCCCAGGCTCCACTGGAATACCCATGGGAGCTCCAGCAGCAGCACCGCTGGGATCCAACAGCTTAAAGACAAAAGCAACACAGACCCATGGGGAAACCGAGGAGGAAAAGCAGCCAGGGACTGCCTGAAAGCCAGAGTCAGGGCTGGATGCATCCTCTGGACTCCTGTGGGATTCCTCTGGGAAGAAGGAGAACAGAGCAGGAAACCCATCCTGGAAGCCCAATAAAACCTGAGACTGAGCAAACCCCAGCCAAGTCAGCAGAGCTGCAAGACAGATTTGAAGGATGAGAATAATAATACTTAATCTCAGCATTCTTATGCGTTCCAGTAGACCCAAAATAGCTACTCAGTGAGCAGGGACCTCCTGTGCTGAGCAGTACTGTCAAGTAAACCCTCCCTCCGAGGCTTTGGGTCTTGGCATCAGAGACCCTCAGCCCCAACCCTTTTTAGTAAAGGCAATAGCATCTCCTTCACCCTCCCCATCACCTGCCCCTCTCCATGCAGGAACTGCCTCAATACCAGTCAGAAGCCAAGCTCTTGTTTAAAGCATAGCAGTAAGGTTAAATGAGAGCAAAGGAAGAGAGAAACCTGCTGGGGCCTCACCAGGGCCAGGCTGGGAAGAGGCAAATGGACTGTTCCTCAGTGGTTTAAGATATGCCAGAAACTCCACCATCCTGCTGCAGAACCAGCTCTGCTGCCACGTCCCCAGCACTGAACCCGGTCCTGCTGGTGAGCACATGCTTTGGCTCAACACACACATACAGACTGTTGCCAAAATAAGGGTGAGCCTCTTATTTAGAGCCCTTGAGGTCTGTTCCTGCAATGGTCTCACCCTCCAAGCCCTCCCATTGTAGTTTGTTGTCCTCCACCACCAGCATCTCCTCCTCCATAAGCTCAGCTAAAGGAGAACACATTCAAGGCTTCACAGAGGGAAACGGCAAAGGATAAAGATGCAATAGATTGGATTTGACTTTCCTAAGGAATTCCATGACTACAGTTGTTGGGCATCATTAAACCAGTTTCTCTCAGAGGTTTAACCCTCCTGCTGGCCCCAGCTCTGCCATTGAGCCCACACTTGGGTACCACCAGAGCTCCTGGTGGGGCTGCAGCAGGAGCAAAACCTTTCTTCCTCCCCAGGGAGCAGGGCTGCAGTGATAAGGACTCATTAAAAGCTTTTACTACCTGCTGTTATCCAGCAAACTGATTCTGGAGGAGTGCCAGGTACAGCGAGAGCTCTCTGCATAAAGAGCAACAGGCTAAAAAGGGATCCCTCGTCCTGCCCTGCAGGGACAGTGAGCCCCATGCTCTCACCAGCATCCCTTCCCTGCCTGACTTAAAGCGCAGGGAAAAAAACACCCACACCAGCCAACTCAGATTTTAACTGGTTTAGAAAGAAGTGACACTTGTTGGAAGTGAAGTGCAATGGTTTAACCTTTGTCTGAACAGCTCCCGAGAGAGATGTCTGGGCTCCAAGTGAAGGGAGATGCACCTTGAGCCAAATTCCCCTGCCAGCACAGCCCCAAGGATGGCTCCAGACTGACCAGACACTGATTCTTCATTTCAACACATTCAGCTTTAACCTCTACCTGTGCTCCTTCCACATCATCCCTCATAATTTCACCAAGTCTCTGGGTACCCTAAAGCATCCCCGGTCCCATCCCCTGCCCGCTGCAGAGCATCTGACCAGCCCAGGAGCTGTCACCGCTGCCTCTGGGCAGGGAGTGCAGGAGGCCTGAGCTACCCGAGGGGCATTTTGCATTTGCACAAGCTCTGACAAGGTGGGTCCTGCCCATAGCCCCGCACAGGGACACCCCCTTTTCCATTCCACCCTTGCCACCAGCCCATCCTGCTCTGGGCAGTGCAAGAATCTTCCCCTTCCACAAGCTCTCATTTTCAAACACAGCAGAGAAGAACAGCAGCCACCAGGAAGAAGTGGGGTTTGTGGTACAACTGTTTACCCTGTTGGGAAACAGCAGCTTCAGGCAGCTGATCAAATACATCTTGAGCCCCATTCAGCTCCTTCTGACAAGGGCAATCACTGCAATGGCCAATGCAGGCAAGAGACAGGCAACCGAGAGCAATAGGAAAAAGCAGGGTTTGATGGCAATCAGCTTCCAAGCGCTCTGGCAGCCAGAGAGCAGCTCCTGGCCCCTCACTGCATCCTGCAAAGGGTTCAGGACCTGTTCCAAGAGGCTCAAAAAGCGAGGGAGCAGGGAAAGCTGATGCCACAGGCTCTTCTGGATACCGGCTAAGCGGGAAGCCTCACGTTCCTTACTCAGAGCCACAAATAATCTCCCCTTCCACTCAAATAAATAGAGTTTAAAAAGCTCTTTGGAAGTTGTTGGAAACACCCTGACGAAGCCACGCTTGTGTTTCCAGCTGTAAAAGCCCAACAGCTCCGGATTTATTTGGTTTTGCAATAACACTCTTCAGCACCAGGATGGCTCATTCCATTCGGAAGTGCTTAAAGGGTTGGCAGCTCTGCAAATTAAACCCCTGGGCTGAAGCAGAAGGTCACACCTGAGCTGTTTGCAAAGCGCTGCCGGTGAAAAGAACAAAAGCAGTGGCATGAAGGGGAGAAAAACCAAGAGTGCAGAGAGCCTGAAGCTGCAGCAGCATCGGCAGAGCCGCCCAGCACACACGGGTTTATTAAAGCTGAAGGAGGAGCCCAGGAGCATCCTCGCTGTGAGGATGCTGAGGCGCTGGCACAGGGTGCCCAGAGAAGCTGTGGCTGCCCCATCCCTGGCAGTGTTCAAGGACACAGGGGCTTGGAGCAAGCTGCTCTATGGAAGGGGTCCCTGCCCGTGGCAGGGGTTGGTGCTGGAGGAGCTTTAAGGTCCCTTCCATCCCAACCCAGGCTGGGGTTCCGTGACCCCACTTACCAGAGCCGGGATGAGCAGGTCGGCCAAGTACACGAAAGCTGCTCCCAGAGCAAAGCCCAGGGCCACCGGGAAGAAGGCGAAGGCTCCGAAGCTGCCGGACTCCTCGGCCATGTCGATAGCTGGGGCCAGGAGGGACCAGTAGGAAGCAGCCAGCATGACCTGGGAGACAAGGGGACCATTGAGAACCATGGAGACCCCAGTGCCACAAGGGTCTGACCCCAGATGCCCACCCTCCAGCCAGGGAAACCCCTGCGCTTCACACCTACCCACCCATTGCAGAGCCATCAGAACCTGCTTCCCAATGGAACAACCACCACAGGATGGAGAAGTGTTTCCCCATGAGTGCTTCCCTTGGCTCGGAAGTGCAAGGCAGCAAATAACTGACACGAGCTCTTTAGGGTGACTTCCTATGGAACTGGCACAGCCACAGCAGCCCTTCATCATGAGCCCACCTCTGCAGGCAGCAACCCCAAAGTCCCGCTTGCAGGATGCTCAGGAGAGATGCTGCTCCACCTGCTCCCACAGCACGAGTGCTCACCCACAGGAGTACGTAAGAAACCATTACATTTTAACTCGCTTCTAATGAAGGAGCGAGATGCCTATTGCTGGAGACACCAGTCCCTGAGGGACTGTGCAGATCTCAGCTCTCTGTGAGTAAGAAGAAAGCAGGCTGTCATGTCAGCCCTAACCACGGCTGTCAAACTTGATTTCAAATGCCACCTCCTTTAAAAAACAACCACACACCCCAACATGGAAACACAAGCAACAGGGAAAGGCTTTGCAGAATTATGTTGTCATCTTCCTTAAGATATCAGTTCCCTATGGAACACAGAGGCATGACACGGCTCAGCCTCCAGATCCCATCACCCCCGAAGGCAGGAGCAGAGCTCCCACCAGCTCTGCTGTGCACAGGCCCTGGGGGAAGGTGATGACAGTGCCTGAAGTCACCCCAACCTCAGCAGCTGAGGGAAGGAGCTGTGGGGCTTCACAACCACCTTCAACTGCTTGGGGGGGGGGGAAAGACACTGATTCCTACAGCCTTTCCTGCAGAGTTTGGCAGTTTTAGAGAGTCCATGAGATCCCCCTCTGGCTCAGCAGCATCCCTTATATCAGGAGATGCTCCTGAACTAAACAGGGTGAGGATTTCTGCCTGATTTAAGTAACAAAGAAATCACCATCTATTTCAAACCTGTATAAAGTCCCCAGCCAGGGAGAGAGGAACCCAAATGCCACCGACCTCCCTGAGCAAACTGGTGACCAAGGCAGGAATCAAAGGGGAAAATCCTGCCTGGGATGGCTCAGATCAATGAAACACTTCCTGCACAAAGCCTCCCCCTCACACCAGCCCCTCTAAGACAGGGAGCAGGGGACCCACATCCCACCAGCTCCGGGACACGCAGCTCCTGCCACTGTGGATTTGGGCATTTCTAGAAGGAGACTTCATGCTCCCCAGCCAAGATGCAACAATGCCATAAACCCACCTGCCCCTGACAAAGCTGTGGCTGAGAGGGGAGGAGGAAGCACGCAGAAGGCAGCCATGGATCTACAGCATCCCCAGGCTGTGCGGAGCCCAGAACCTTCCCTGGGATATATCAGCACAAGCAGAGGCTCAAACCCCAACTGCCTCAAGCCCCACAGCTTCAGAGCTGCACAGGTTTGTCCCTGCAAACACAGGAGAAAGAGGGCAATGATCCTCATCTGCAACCGCTGGTCCTGCTGGACCCAAGGGCAAAGGGAGGGGGCCTGCACTGATCCAAGCCTGCCATCACACCACTGAATTAAAGCCCTCATCTGCTGCAGGCAGCCACATCTCATCACACTCCTGCGTGGCCACCCAGATGAGAGCAGTGGCTCCAAGGGAAGCAGCCACATTAACAGGCAGACAACCCCAGGTGCTTACAAGGGAAAGGCTTTCCCTGGGCAGGAGGGGAAGGAAAATGGGAAGGTGAGAGCCCGGCAGGACGTTTTCCCTGCCAAGCTTTTTAGCCTGACTTCATTACAGTTGGATTCAATGACCTTAAAGGTCTGCTCTAACCTAAATGATTGTAAGGCTCCGAGAACAGGGAGCAGCCTCAGCAGACCTGTGTAAATTACTGATGCTGTTTAAAGCAGCACTGAAAGGGAATATTCAATAGGAGACGTGCCTGGTGCGGTTTAAAGAGCACGTCCTCACCATTTGCTGCTTCACGTGGGACAGGAGAAATCAAGCTAAGAGACAGGAATAGGCAGGAGAGGCTGCAGGGAGGGAGCACTGCAAGCGTTTATGATGTCTGAGAGCACAGCACCGCCGGGATAACACCGAGATAACGGAGAGCATCTACAACATAAAGGTCTTAGTTAAGAATATCAAGATTTAAGAGAAAAGCCAGGATTTCACATCAGATGCCCAAGCAAGCAAAGCCTTGTCTCTATGGAAACACATCACCTCGGAGGCTTTCACATACAAAGGCCTCTATTATCCCTGATTTCCAGAGGGGGAACTGAGGCAGAGAGGAGCTAAATGCTCAGAGACCCAAGCACTGGTACTGGGCTGGAGGAAGCCGAGCTCCTCCATCACACAGTGACCAGCCACACTGGTTCCCTTTGACACATCAGACACAACAGGACACATATGACACATCAGACAACAGCAAAGAGGAGTGTTTCATCAGTGATCCTGGGCCTGGAGAGGATGCCCATGTCCCCTGGAGCCCAGAGGAGCATCAGGGATCCTGAGCTAAGCACCAAACAGCAAAGGCAGCAGCAATACCTGCTCTGAACGCACAGCCCTGCGGGTTTGCCACCTCTGACAGAGAGCAAGGGAAGTTCAATTAAACCCAGCAGCCCAGGCTGGAGAACAGAGATAAAGAGGAAGCTCAGTGCTTCCTGTCTCTGCCCCAGTGCCCTGAGAAACAGCCCATCTGTATCTGCAAGAGATCTGCATCAAAGCCACCGTGTCTCAAACACAAATCCCTTACAGCAAGAGCAGCAGCCCATGAGCAGAGCAGCGCTGCTGCCTGAAGAGATGCTCTTAAAGAGGAGGAAGAAAACCACACAAACAGGTTTCGAACCTGGCTGCCCCACATCCTGCTTTTTGTCCTTCATGGAGCCAGCAGAGAGCCCCCAACACTGCGTCTGCAGCACCAGCCTGGATGAGGCTGGAACAGCCCCTTTATGCCAGCCAGGCAGGACTCCACAGCCTGCCTGGGTTCCCTCTCCAGGCACAGCCAGCCACAGACACACAACCAGCTTCATTCCAGCATCACATCCCACCTAAACCTAAGAGTCAGCTACAGTCCTTCCTGCCAAAGGGCTGGGTCAGGACGTGGTTCCTCTTCCAGCTTCTCCATGGACCCCGTACAACTGCCAAACGCACACATGGAATGGTTTGGGTTGGAAGGGACCTTAAAGCCCATCCAGCTCCAACCCTACCACGGGCAGGGACCCCTTCCACTAGAGCAGCTTGCTCCAAGCCCCTGTATCCAACCTGGCCTTGAACACTGTGGATCTCTGATATCTTCCTCCAGAAAAGCTGGTCCTGGCTGGGCTGCAGTGACCCTGTGTGGCACAAACACCTCGCCCCATCCAGCACCAGCTGCAGCAGCTCAGGCCCATAACCACGACGTGGAAACCTTCACAAACTGCAGCTCGTGGGTGGCAGCACCTTCTTCAACAGGACCTGCCAGCGCTGACGCCCCCCTCCAGACCCCACAGCATCCCTGGACAACAATTCCCCTCTCCCGCTCCCAGCCCAGCACATCGGAAGGAGCTGAGGGAAAAGGGAATGTTTGCAGGAGTTCTGCTTCCCCGGCTGAGCCACACCTCTGCCACGCAGCACTGACAGCTCCTGGCAGGGTGACACAGCAGCCACGACAAGGCCAGCATCACGCTGTGCCCTGCCAGCACCGAGCCAGCCCCACGCTGTGCCCTGCCAGCACCGAGCCAGCCCCACGCTGTCCCCAGCACCACAAAGTGGCTCCAAGTTGGCTTGGCAGGGACAAGGTTGTGCCTTCCATAGAAAAACAGCTCCGGAAACGACCACAGAGGAAAGCTCCAGAGCCAGAGATTCATCTATAAATGATGGCCCCAGCGTTACAACAGATGAGTTCAATTATTCACACCAGCAGCAGGCGCAGGCACATAGCAGGGAAGCTCGGCAGGGAGCAAACTGAGCTTCATGGTGTTTCCTGTCACCCACCGTGGCACTTCAGACCGCCAAGACAATGAGAGGAGTTTAAGTCCAGAGCCCCAAATCCAGGGTGGGCAGCTCAGCATCCTCACGCCCCTCCTCGTGCCACCCCCCTGCTCACAAAGGAGGCACTGAGACATGAGGCAACCACAGCTGCACCACGCTCCTCCTGCCCCACCTGCACCTCAGGCCATTATCCAGGAGACACTAACATGAGCAGGCAACCAAACGGAGCACGGCCGGGCTGTGGAGGTGTCCTCAGGAGAACAGAGACAAGCAGCAGCAGGATGCTGTACTTACCCCCGCGGCGAAGCCTAAGCTCCCATCCAGGATCCGCCTCTGGAAACCAAGCACAAAACACACCACTGACTCCCAGCAGAAGCAGTGGGATAACGTCCTTCTCCCCATTCCTGCAACCCAAGCAATGCCCGTGCTTTGGGGCAAAAACCATGCCACTCATGCAAAGGAGCCCACTGTGCTAGGGCGACGGAACCCCACTAGCACCAAGAGCCCACAGCGCATCCCAGCTCCCTCGGCCCATCCCATAATCATTCTAAAGCTAAACCAGGCACTCCCCCATTGCATTCCCCCACCTTGAAGACTTTGAGGCCTCTAAGAAGAGGCTGCTATAAACAAAGCCATTCCTCTCCCAGCAACCCAGCACCTATCCTGCCCGCTCCGCTCCCAGGGCAGTCTTCCCTCTTTAGCCCATGCCCTCCCCTAGGAAGGAAACCAACGTGTGCCTGCAAAGGGAGCCTCACTGCGCACAGGCTCCTGAATAAATCATCACAAGAGAAGGGCATAAATAATAAATCCATGCGGGCAACTTTGAAGACAGGAGCAAGAGGGGCCTCTAATTTTGGAACACAACACGAGTTAAAGATCAGCGCTTTGCTTGTTCTGACCCGAATCCCGGGCTGGGGATGCGGCAGCAAAAAGCAGATTCCAGAAGGGAAACCTGCTACTCCAAACACGGAGCCCTGCCTGCGGTTCTGCCCTGTCTCCCCAGCGCTGGGAGCCGTGGTACTGCACATACCACTGCCTGGGGTCAGGAATTTGATTGCCTTCTCTTCTGTGTGGATAAACAGGATGGAAACGAGCTGGATTCTTCTGCTCCTGCCCCCCAGGCCCAATGCTGAGCAGCTCACGCTTGGGACGGGGCAGCCCTCACCTGGACCCCACGGATGTGCCCAGCACCCACCTGCCCACTGGAGAACACGAACACCAGCGCGGAGCCGGCCGCCGTCAGCCCCCACGTGAGGAACGTGCCCAGCACCGCCTGCAGCACCGGCCCGTGCCCCGGGATCATGCTGACCTGGGGGGAACAACACGGTCAGGAGAAGCACTTGGTGTGTAAAGAGAGAATAATCCCCATACCCACCCTGGTTAATGTGGGAGCCCCAAACCCCTCCTCAGCAAAGGGGGCAGAGTGAGCTTAACCATCCCAATGCCTCTCCAAGCTTCTCTTTTCCCCTTAAGGCTTAATCTGAGCTCAGAGGAGCAGGAGGGCCCAAGGAGGGATGGCTGGGATGCATCACATCCCATCTGGTGCAGAACCCCAGGCTGATTTTGGGCTCAGCTCCCTGAGCAGCATCAGAGCGCAAAGAAAAGCACAAACAGTGCTCAAACCTCACAGAGCAAGGGGAGGCTGCATCCTGAATCCCACATCCCCAGGCCATTCACCCCGCTGCTGGAGGGCACTTATTTGTGCCCAAAACCAGGTTTCCTGGCACTGAAGGCAAATACCCCTGTGAGACCCAGCTCCCAACACTGCTGAGCCCCAGGACCAAGGAAACGTGGGAACGATACCTCAAAAACCCAGCTCGGGGGGGGTCATTGGGCACATTGTGCTCTGGGAACAGGCCGGGAGCTGCGCTGCTGCGGAACCACACGCGTGTGCAGGAACAGGCACAAATACCTAAACCCACACGGATTCAGATTCACGCGCCAGCGAACCAAAACACCCCGCACTCATACACCTATAGGGGTACATAAGGAACACACGCACCGGTGCTTCCTTCCTCCTCCTCCTCCTCAGGCCCTCCCCAGCCGCGGCCTAAACCCTTTGGGGAGGGTGCCTGGGTCAGGACCCCCCCAGCAACCCGGGTCAGACCCCGAGCCCACAAAGCCCCGCACAGCCCGCGGCCCCCCCCCGGGCTCCGGGACCCCAGCACCCGACCGGGCCCTGCCGCGGGGCTCCCAGTGCCGGCACCGGCACCCCAAGGACCCTCCGGCTGCCAAGGCCGAGGCCGGGCCCGGGACCCACCCGGAGCCCCCGGCCCCGCTCACCGGCCGCCGCCGCCGCCGCTTCCTGGTGCCGCACACGTGTCGCCGCCGTCGCCCCGCCCACCACCGCGGCCTCGGCCAATGGGAGCGCGGCAAAGGAGGGCCGCCCGCGGATCTTGTGTTTCGGGAGGGAGAGGCCGCGGGAAAATGAGGCGGGCGGGCGGCGCGGGCGGGCGCGGCACGGAGCTGTCGTTGTCACTGCTATCACTGTTATCATCACTGTTTCATCACTGTTGTCACTGTCACCGCCGGTCACGGCTCGGCTCCCCCCGCTGCACGGTGACCCCAGGGCTGGGCTGCTCAAATCCCGGTCTCTGGACTGGGGTAGGCTGGCACCTCCGTGGAGTTTGTTAGCGCTATCCCGCGGGGGGCTGTGCCCGCTCAGCGCAATTAGCAGCGCTCATTAGAGACCGGCCGCTGCACATTAATGAGCAGCCTGCAACACCCAGCAGGAGCAAACACCTCCCATACCCATCAGTGCCGGCAGCCAGCCCCGTCAGCCTTTGGAGGGTGCATGCAGCACCCCCGTCCTCTCCCACTCATTGAGGTCCCCCAAAGCATCATCACAAGGGACACGGTGGCCAAGCCCCTGCACCACATGGAGCTGGAGAAGCTCCAGCACTGACTCCTTCCCCATTAGCTGAGCCTGAGCAGCAGGAGCCAGGCCGGGCTCGCTGGTGCCTCCAGCTTGTGCCACAGCAGAAGGCTCAGGGGGTGGCAGAAGGACACATCCAGCTCTTTTGCAACATAACCCGTCTTTATTAGAGTGTTTATCTTCTAACAGCCTTTGATCAGCCTCCCCTGCCACAGCTGGGAAAGGTCAAGGCCATTTGAAACCTCCGTGATTTAGGATTTAATCAATCTCCCCCTGTAATTGCCTCATCCTTCATTAGCTCCCACAAGGAGCAGATGCAGCGTGAGGTACCAGCTGGGAGGGATGCAGGGACAGAGCAAACAGAGCTCTGGGGTTCCCTGGGTAGCTGTGATGGAGCACGGGGACACTGCTGAAACAGGAGCCTGCCATGGTCTGGGGGAGGCTGATGGGGATGTTCCTGCCTAGGGATGTGTGGGCAGCTCCAGGCAATGGGGCCAATGCGGCAGCACATGGCTCTGTGCAGCTGCAGCAGCAGAATCAACTCACGTTCCCCTTCCCCAGCGTCATCCCTGTGTGCAGGGACACCTCTGGGTCACCTCCCCAATGATAACAGACCTGCAAGGTCCTGCCTGGCCTCTGCACCCCAGCCCCATCCCCACGCTGTGCAGTTTCCCATCCCTCTGCATCCCAGGGCACACAGGCAAAGGCAGTACCAGGGAGGGCTGGCAGCTCCTGCAGGACCCCTGCCCAGAGCAGCACCAGGAAGGATGAGTCCCACAGTAGCAACCATGCATTACCTGGAGTCCTGAAATGCATTTTAAACCACAAAAGGGGCACAAGTTCTTGTGCAATCTCATGTATGTGGGATGCTGCAAGGGGCAGCACCGTAGCCACGGGCAGCCAGGACGCAAATCCCTTTGGATTTTTGCAGTAAAAACTCCTTAGTGATGTCTGGGGAAGCCGTGGCAGAGGCACAACCCAGCACCAGGGCACCGCAGGCTGAGATGCATTTGGACATGCCCCAGACGTGCTTCTCACCAGGCATTGCGAATGGGGTATCTCTGCATCCCCTTTGCCCAGGCTGGGCTCATGGCCAGGCTCTTTCCCAACCCAAACCCATCCGTGCCAGGCCAGAGCAGTGGATGGAGCCAGCCTGGACGTGCACCAAGGCGGCTGCAGTGCACAGGGAACGCGGGCATCCAGACACGTGCCAGAGGACAGGGTGCGGGAGCAGCTCCATGCCAGGCTAATGTCACCTCTTAGTCACAGCCCAGTGGCAGCTTCGGGCTCCCCAAGGGGGACAGGATGGAGCCGGTGCAGGGCTGGGGGAGGGCAGAGTCCTGCCAGCACCGGGCTGCTTCCAACAGGAGGGCACAGGGACACGATCACAGGCGATTGGCGTGCGCTGGCACTGACCCTGACAGGCCAAGCTGGTGCAGAGCCCGGCTGCCAAGAGCAGGGTGCTGCTGAGTCCCCATTGAAGGCTCGGGACCCTCCAACAAGCTGGACACAGCGGGGAGAGGACCGGCAGGAGCAGAGATTACAGCCCATGGTTGCCAAAGGCTCATTAGCACCAGGGCTTCAGTGATGTGATCCATGGGGAATGTGCAGCTCCCATCACAGCCCAGTCCTGGTGCCCTCAGAGAGATCAGTGACTGATTACAGAGGGAAATAGGGCAGGGAATGGATGTGAGAGGCAGGAATAGGAGGAAGCAGCATCTGCTGGGAGGTCTGGTGGGAGCAGGAGGCAGCCCTCAGCAAGGGGCTGTATGTGGATGGTGCGATGCTCCTCTGGGAATGCCTCCAACCCACTGGTGCTGCATCCCACGGGGGCTGGATGCTGTGGGGCATGCGGGATGCCGCCGGTCACCCTCACCTCTCCCTCCCCATCCATCATCCTCTCCCTCCTCATCAATCACTGCTGCAGACGCTGCCAGATTAGATCTGGCAGCAACCAGCTTGGTTGTGCCCTGCCTGGGGGCACGAGGAGCTGGTCCAAGCTTGTTTGTCTGGATAATCAGCAGAAAGCAAAGCAAAGCAAAGCCTCCCGAATCCCAGGCAGCCCTGACACGGAGCCAGGGCATCAGCAGAGCCACCAGCCCTGCTCCTGGCTGCTGGGCTGGAGATGGGCAGGGAAAGGACAGGGAAAGGACAAGGGAAAGGACAGGGAAAGGACAAGGGAAAGGACAGGGAAAGGACAAAGGAAAGGACAGGGAAAGGGCAATGCCACCTAAAACACACCCGGGAAACACCGTGGTCATCTCTGCCTGTACTGGCATCCACTTGGAACCTGTAAGTGCTTCCCAGCTCCCCTTCAGCAGACCCACTAATCCAACAGAGCCTTATTCCTGCACTATTCCAGAGCTCTCGTTGCCTCCCATGCACGTATCAGGGAGAAAGGCCGGCTCACCCTACCCCTCTGTTGGCAACCAAAGCCCCGGCTCCTTACAACACATTTCCAGGACAGGGGTCGAAAGCGCTCTTTTCCATAGGGAATCTTGCAGAACAGCTGGGAATGGATGGCAGCAAACTTGGAAGGGCTTCAAAAAGGGCTCTGTGGTCACGTAATCCCCATGCCCCTCTCCCATGGGCTCTGTCGGCCCCCGAAGCCGTGTGGGAAGAGGCTGTGCGCTTCTCCTCTACCCAGCCCTGCCAGTAAATGGCTTTTCAGCACTGGATGCTTCCCAGGCTAAAGGACAAAGAGGGGTTTATCTGCCAGCACCAAACCAGCTGCTGGGGTACAATGTCTCTGCGAAGCAGGGACCACCCAGAGGTAGGGATCAGGCTTGAATTCAACCCCAAATCGAAGCAGAATGAAAGGAAAAGCTTCCAAAGGCTCAGGCTCTCCCATTCCGCAGCAGGGCTGCGCTCCTCGCTGGGTGGATATCAGCGAGGATCAGCCCTCAGCACATCGGCTCGCCAGGTGTGCGGGTTTATAATGAAGATTAGATCTGCGTTTAGCCAAGGAGCTAAAGCCCACACAGCTCCCAGCCCCTGCATCCAACACTGGCTTCCTATGGAGGTGAAGGGCAGAGGGTGGCTGAAGATGTGATGCTCAGCACCACACTGGGAGAAACCAGTATGAACTGGGGCTGCTCAAGGTGCCGGGGTGAGGAGGACCGCAGCATCCTGACCCACAGGGACTCAAGGGGGGGATGTGGCAGCATCATCTGTTCAGGGGAGAAATTCAAGGAGGCAGCACTGGAAATGGGCACAAGGAGGATTTGCACTCCCCTTCCCACTGCCAATGTGGCTTTGAGGGCAGGGCACCCTTAGGACATCCCTGCTGGGCACAGGAAGCACGGGGAGAGGATAAAACAACAGGGAAGAAGCTCAGAGGGGCTGCAAGCACGCTGCACTCCCTCCTCCCAAACCACCTCCTTCCCCATCCTCCCTCCTCACACACCTTTACTGGGATATTAACTACCAGAAGCAGCTTTCTGCAGCCTCCTGGCTATTTATGGGGCTCACAATGATCCTCCCGCATGCTCCAGGAGCTGGTGCCTTCAGGTCCACCTTGGGAAATGGATGGCCAAGTGCAAGCGAGAACCTCCCAGCCCCTCTTACCACAATCGGTCCCCTCGCTCTGGGCTCTTTGTTCCAAGTCACTTAATTTCCTGCTCTCTATTGTCTCTTTGATAAGTGATGGAAAGGGGAGGAGAGGAACAGCTATTATTTAATTGCTTTCAAGCTCTCAAACAAACCAGGGTTATCTCCCCCACACCTCTGGGGTTTGGCCTTCCTCCTCCAGTCATCGTCACTGGCTAACTGCAGAGGCTGGGGCAGAAGCCACCCTTATTGTGCAAGTCCCCAGAGACCCCAAAGCTGTAGCAATCACAGCATCACCTTCCCACCTCTCCAAGGGCTGTGCCAAGCCAGCAAGGACCTGCTCTGCCTTGATTTGGTGGCAAGGTGCAAAATCCCCTGGCCAAGGAGCTCCCAGCTTCCTGGGAGACATTGGGACTCTCAGACACCTCTTGGGGCTCTCCGGCTCCATGGTCACAGCGTGGCCATCACGCTGCCATCACCCTGCCCCGTCCCTCCCTCGTGGTGGCCCTGGGGACATCAGGAGAAGCTGAGCCCTTTGCACCATCCCCGGGACCAAGATGTTGCTTCTGCAGCCGGAGCCAGGTGACAAAGCCAAGGTCGTGGGAGAAGGAGGAGAGAGCTGAGGGATGCGTTTTCTGCTGGAAGCCCCATGGAACCGGGCAGGTCCTGCCACGCTCTGGGGGGATCAGGATCCCTACACCCAGAGTGGGCAGAAAAGGGCAGAGCAGGGCGGGCAGCGCATGGAGGGCAGAGGAGGGTGGGCAGCAGAGGCAGGGCAAGCAGGGCTGGCAGTGCGGGCAGCACAGGCAGTGCGGGCAGGGCTGTCCCCGCCCCGGCCCCGCAGAGCCGCCCCGTGCGGGGCGGAGCGCAGCAGCCGGTGCTGGGTCCAGCGGCGGAGCCGAACGGAGCGGCTCGGAGCGGAGCTGCGGGCGCTGCCGGTGCCGGTCCCCGCCGGCGGGCGCAGGTGAGCGGCGGGGGCAGCACCGCGCCGGTGCCCCTCGGGGAGCAGAGGGATGGGGCGGGGGGGAGAGCGGAGCCGCCCGGGGAGCCCCGTCGGGGCCGGCGCCCCGCTGAAGGGCGAGGCACGGGGCGAGGTTTCCCCCAGCACCCGGTGCTGCGGGCATCGGTAGCACCCGGCGGGGACTCAGGGTTGGATGCGGAGAGTCCCGGTGCCACCGGAGCCAGGAGGAGCTGCGGCGTGTCCAGGGCAGAGCGCGGCGGTCCCGAGCTCGGGAGAGGCGGTGCGGGGGGAGCCCCTGCAGGGAGCAGCTCTGCCACCACCGGGCTCGCTGCAGGACGGGCAAATCCCCCCCCGAATCCCTTCATTTCGCTTTATTCTCCCATTTCTAGAATCTTCTCATCTGTCCCCAGAGCGAGGGACGATGACATCCCGGCTCCTCTGAACGGGCAGCACCCAGGGACCAGCAGAGCCATGGAGCTGGAATACGAGCTGCCCAATGCCACCGCCTTCTGGTTCTCCCCATCTTCCCCCTTTGACAACTTCTCGGTGGAGGCGCCCACCAACACGTCGCAGAACGCCACAGGGCACCACTTCGACCTGACCAGCAACGCCATCCTTACCTTCATCTACTTCGTGGTCTGCATCATCGGGCTGTGCGGCAACACGCTGGTGATATACGTCATCCTTCGTTATGCCAAGATGAAGACCATCACCAACATCTACATCCTCAACCTGGCCATCGCGGACGAGCTCTTCATGCTCGGGCTGCCCTTCCTGGCCATGCAGGTGGCCCTGGTGCACTGGCCCTTTGGCAAAGCCCTCTGCAGAATTGTCATGACAGTGGATGGGATCAACCAGTTCACCAGTATCTTCTGCTTGACGGTTATGAGCATTGACCGGTACCTGGCTGTCGTCCATCCCATTAAATCTGCCAAGTGGAGGCGGCCCAGGACAGCCAAAATGATCAACATGGCCGTTTGGGGCATCTCCCTCTTGGTGATCATGCCCATCATGATTTATGCTGGCGTGCAGCACAACCACGGCAGGAGTAGCTGCACCATCATCTGGCCAGGAGAGTCGGGTGCCTGGTACACAGGCTTCATCATCTACGCCTTCATCCTGGGCTTCCTGGTGCCTCTCACCATTATCTGCCTTTGCTACTTGTTCATCATTATCAAAGTCAAGTCCTCGGGCATCAGAGTGGGCTCGTCCAAGAGGAAAAAGTCCGAGAAGAAGGTGACCAGGATGGTGTCCATCGTGGTCGCTGTCTTCATCTTCTGCTGGCTCCCCTTCTACATCTTCAACGTCTCCTCCGTCTCCGTGCTGATCGTGCCCACGCCTGTCCTCAAGGGCATGTTTGACTTCGTGGTGGTCCTCAGTTACGCCAACAGCTGCGCCAACCCCATCCTTTACGCCTTCTTGTCCGACAACTTCAAGAAGAGCTTCCAGAACGTCCTCTGCCTGGTGAAGGTCAGCGGCATGGACGAGGCGGACCGCAGCGACAGCAAGCAGGACAAATCCAGGCTCAACGAGACCACGGAAACCCAGAGGACCCTGCTCAACGGTGACCTGCAGACAAGCATCTGAGGGGGCAGCGGCGTGGTCCTTCCTTCGCTCCGCTCTCGCCCGCTGCAGCAGGGTGGCGGCACGTACGGAGTCAGGGCAGCAGCGCCGGCTTAGGGATGGCAGCACGCACCGATGGCCGTCGGGGCTCCCCACTGGGGCTCCTCCTGAGCTGCTGCTGGTTGGGGAAGGAAACGGTTCGAGAGGAGCTGCCTCACCAGGGAAACAAAGACCCCTTGTAGCGCTGCAGCGTTTCAACACCAAAGTGCCACCATGGGGCTCCGCTGGCTCCCCCGGTGGTACCCCCGGGGCCGGTTGGCTCTGGGTGCTCTGCCCCAGAATGGGTGCTCACGTGTGGACGCACACACACGCAGCGGGGTGACCTCAGGAGCAGCCGAGGCCACGGGTGCGTGCCGACAGCGTCTTATAGCAAAGACCTGATGGGAGCTCCCCGGAGAGCCACCCTCCTCCGGGAGACAAGGATATTTGGGGTTGTGTTTTACCCGGCTTCTAAGTTCCTCCATGGCCTCCCCTGCAGGTCCCTGCTGCTGTTTGACTGCGTCGTCTGCAACAGCCGCCCTGCCCGGCGGTGACAGACCAGGACAGAGGGGGCTGCCCTATGAGAAGCAGCTCTGCCACCCCGGCAGCCCCCCTGGTCCCACCATGCTCCTACCCCGCATCCTCCATCCCTGCTGCAGGAGAATCCCTTCCCTCTCCTGCCCTGACGTCACCTGCCCGCAGGTTTTCTCTTCGGATGGAGGAATTCCCCCTTCTCCCTCCGCGGCAGCATCAGCCCCACACCGGCAGCCGAGCTCCGCTCTTCCCACTGGATGAGCACGCTGGCACCATCACCTGCACCGGTCCCTGCTGGGGAATCCTTGGAAGCGGCGCACCACGGGTTTGGAGCACCCTGACAAGGGCTGTGGGTGAGATCTGGGCTTGTCCTGCCCCAGCCACGGCTCTGAGGATCCCTGGGGCTGCCGGACACTTGGAATGTGGTGAGCGGCTGCCCTGCTCCTGCCAGGCAAGTCACGCTGGAGGAAGGGGAGATGGAGAGGATGGGGACAGGAGGTTGGGGGGTGCTGGGGACTTGGTCCTGACCCTTGTCTGAGCAGGAGGGATAGGGCAGGGAAGAGGACAGAGCTTCCAGCACTGAGGCATGACATGGAGCAGCATGTGTCCAGACCCCATCCCTCTCCTGTATCACAGTGTGGGAAAAGGGGGGGACACAGGGTGCAGCACACAGCATGAGGGGAAAGGGGTCTGGCTGAGCTCCCACTGCATTCAGCTTCTCGAGACCATCCTGGAGCACTCGGCTCTGTCCCTGCCCTCCCGTCCAGCTCAGTGCAAAGCCGCCCTCCTTGTCCAGCGCAGCAGGAGCAGAGGGAAAGCCCAGGGGAGCAGGACAAGAGCTGGATCCTGTGCCAGAGGCCAGGCTCTGTTCACAGGCTCCTGCTCCAGAGCCGAGCCATGGGAACACAGGGTTTAGGTGAGGGAATCAGCCTGGTCTCACTCACCCCCCCTTTTCCCATCCCTCCCTGGAGCCCCCACAGCAGCCCCAGAGCCTTCACCCCACACTACAAGGATGAGCATTGCCCATGAGGTGCTGCCCACTTTGGGGTGCCACCTTGCACCACCCCCAGGTGATGCTCTGAGGGCATCAGCTCTGGGAGATGATTTTCCATGGCTCTACCTGGCTCCTGCAGCAAGTTCCAGCCCAGGGCATCACTCATCCTGCTGTGCCCCCCAAAAGAGCTCAGTGCCAGGCCCAGTGCCTGCTCCCCGGCACAAGGGACACCAGGGACACGGCTCAGGGACTTTCTGCAGGGCAAAGCAGAGCATTGTCAGCACTGATTTGCTTTTAACTCCTTAGTGCTCCTCTGAGGAACAGGGTGTCTGCATCCGAGCACCCAGAGGCACTGCTTGGGCTCAGCCCTGGGCGGGCACCTGCTGTTGCTCGCTGCCTGTGCTAAGGGAGGGAAAGCCAAAGCCGAGCTCTGAGGCAGCAGGAGCTGCCCTGCTGGTGCTGCAGGATTAAACCACGAGCAGCACGTTGCACTACAGTGAGGCACTGGATGGTGATGGACAGGCCTGGTGCAGCCAGAGCCCTCTGCTAGGAGGTTTCCGTGTTGGAGCTGCAGCAATGCGTCAGCCGGGCTGTGGGTATTTCATGTTTGGTGGGTGGGGAAGGAGGGATCTGTGTGGAAAACAGGGAGGTGATGGGAAGGGATCACCGAGTCCCCTGCCCCTCATGGGGGCTGATGTTCACACCCCCAGCACTCACCTGCAATGGCCAGCTTTGCCCTATGCAAGCTCTGTCACCACCGCCCCAACTGATGGCAGAGGGAGTCTCCAGCAGGAGCATCTCCTCTCTGTGCTGCTTTAATGAGGGGAATACGGAAAGCCTGGCTTCCCAGCCCTGGGAAGGACCCTGCCCAGCACAGCGTGTGCCTGGATCAGCTCTGTCCTGGCAGAACCCCCAGACAATGACATTTCTGGCAGCTCAGAGCTCTGCAAGGGGACTGAGATCAGAAATACCCCATTCCCCCCCTTCGCACCCAGGGGATCTCTTGTGCTGGGGATAAAGGAGTGCAGGTGAGGAGCGAGGAGCACAGGGGCTGCCACCGACATCCCACAGGCCACCGAGGTGGGATGCTGCAGGGAACGAGCACGAGGTGGCTTTGGGGGGGGGGGGGGGGCTGCCAGAGCCCCCCCCGGCCACCCTGCCCCAGCTCACCCCAGGGGAAGGACAGGAGAAGGAGCGAGCAGCGGGAGCGCAGCGCTCGCAGCAAACCAAGGCGAATGAGCCCCGCTGCTGGCTCCTTGCTGACTAATAAAGAGCAGCCCCGCTGCCGCTGCGGGCGAGTGACAGAGTTTGCCTTCGCAGCCGCTTGATTTCAGTGGGAACTTGACCTCAGCTTGGCTCCGCTCCTCGGGGCGCTCGCAGTGACCGCGCTGAGCCGGCGGGCGCTGGAGCGGCTCCGCTGCCGCCCCGCACACACGCACGCACCGGCTCCGGGCAGCCCAGGCTCGTTCCAGCGCCCGGAGCACGGCTCGGAGCGCGCAGGGAGCACGGACCCGGGGCCGCCGCTTTGCTGTGGGTGCGATGGGGCTGTCACCGGGCGGGGGTTGCTGTGGGTCTGCCACCGGGCGGGGGTTGCTGTGGGTCTGCCAGAGCCGGCACCTGCCTGGTCCCCCCATAGCTCATGAGGAGCTAATTCCCCTTCCTAGCCCCAACACGGGACAGGCAAAGAGCCCCAAAGAGCAAAGCCAAGGGGCTCTACAAGCCCCCCTGGATTGCCCTGCATGGAGCCATCCTCGCTGTCTCCTCTTCCTCAGCCCTCAGAGATGTGAAGCCTGGTGCTGTGGCTGGGCTGAGCATAACCTCAGGCAAAGCTTCCAAGCGTGCCCGCCTTCCCGCTGCTCAATAACCAAACCCCGCTCTGCTGGGCAGGGTTTGGACTCGGAGCCTCCCTGTTGCATCTCTCAGCTCCTCACATCAGCACTAAAGCCACGCTGGAGTTCTTTACACCAATGACCTCCTAATGAACCGTGCTGCCGTTCTCTGGAGGGGTTCCCAAGCCTTTGTCCTGACGGGAAGAGCCTTCTCTTTGATGGAGACTCCATGGGGAGGTTCCTTCCCTCCCAGACCTGCACTGACTGCACTGAACAGGCAGCGGTGCAGCCCCTGCCAGCTCCATCCCCTGCAACGAGAGCTCTGGATCCGTGACGCTGCTTTAGAGCAGGGACTGACTTCTCCCATTTCGGGGGGGTTCTTTCAGCCCTTGCTGTGAACAAGCTGACCCCAAACTGCTCAGGGAGCCTCCATCCGCTGTGCTGGAGCTGCTCACCTTGCCCAGGGCTGCTCAAAGCAGGAATCAGTCACCACCAAGGCACAAACAAAGGGCACAGATCCACAAACCAACCTTCCTGCTTCCCAGTCTGAAACCAGAGCTGCCGCTTCCCAACGCAAGGATACCTCTGCCTTCCCCTGCCAGCTTCTGCCTCCCCCCAGCCTCACTCCCATGTATCCTGCTGGAGTTCAGCCCTCTCCTGCTCGCTCCATGCAAAAAAAAAAAAGCCAGGACAGGAGGGCTGAGATTTGGAACCTGCTTCAAGCCACATCCTGACCAGGAGACAAGGAGGGATGCGAAGCGTGGGCACTGCAGCCACCCCACCCCGCCCGGCCAGGAGGAGCGGAGGGGGGGCTCTTGTACATACCTGTATATACCGGCCGTGCCAGCACACGGCTTTGTTACCCTGACGTTGTACAGACACTCGGCTGCCCCTGCTCCTCTGGTCTTTCACCTCAACAGGCGGCTTGTGCAAGGCAAGGGAAGGTGAGGTTTACCCTGTCCTAAGCACAGGAGCCCTTCCCTGCCGAGCCAGCTCAGCCGCAGCTCCGTGCTGCACCCCCTGTACATAGCCCCCCCTCTCCGTGCCTGTCGCTGTGCTCCGTGTTGTGTGTGTGGGTCTGCTGTACACACCGGGGGGTCTCTGCTTCCCGTCTTGCTTCCCTCCGCAGCGGCTGTGTCCCGGTGTGGAACCGAGCCGCGGTTTGTGCCACAGGGAGGGAGCTGGGGACGGGCTGCGAGGGAAATAAACCGGTTTTCCTACAGCTTCTGGCTCTGTGTGTGTGTGTGTGGGAGGGCCGGGGGGAGCAGTGGGGTAAGAACCCAGGCTTGGGCACTGCCCTGGGGGAGGAAGAGGCACCAGACCTGGAGCCGCACTAAAGGACAACAAGGGAGGACCACTTCTTCCCCACATCCATCACCCCATGGGGTGGTCTCTGCTTTGTGGGCTCCATGCAGCAAGAGAGCTGTGATTACCCCCAAAGCCCCACAGGATCATTCCCTGGGCAGCATAAACTCAGGGCACCGAGCTACAGGCACATCTGTGCCAGCATCACCCCTATCCTGGATGGGCACAGCTGAAGCACGACCACAAGCAGCTCTCTGAGGTAAGGGGCTGCAGCAGCTCTGAACAACCGGGTGGGAGAAGGAAGCTTCTCCTGCCCTTGGGGCTGGTTGTGATGAGATCAAGGGCAGGTAAAGCGCTGCAGGTTGAATGTGGTGGTGAAATCAGCAGCGGGAGGGACGCGCACACACGGGGGTGCTTGCAGGAGGGGAACACTGATGGGGAGAACTGAAGCTTGGCTCCGACAGGCTTTGCCATCAACAGCTTCCACGCCACAACCCCCTCATTCCAAAACATCTTCCTGTTCCCCCCCTAAATTTACAACGCAGTCAACAGGGGTTTATGGGATGTGAATACAACCCCTGCCAACCTGGTTCCACCGCATCCCGCAGGGAGCAGGATGCTGCCCGGCAGCTCTGCCCCCCACATCCGCCTCGTTGGGGCAGCGGAGGTAGCGGGGCAGGAGCTTCCTGCAGGACCAAGGCAGGGAAACAGCGCACTGGATGCTGTGCTGTGCTGCAGCTGAGGCAGCACGAGGTGCTGAGCCGGTGCCTGCGCTGCGGGGAGCTCTCCTGGCTGGGTCTGTATCGCTGTATGGGACCACAGCAGGACCTGCACATGGAGGGGCTCTGGTTTCTGCCAGGAAACATCAACGCTGATGGGAGGAAGGCAGCAACTGCGCGGGGGAGATTCAGCAAAGAAAACCCAGAGCGCTGTGATTTCCCTCTGCCTCCACAGCCTGAAACACGCGAGGTGATGCGGGGGGGCTCCGAGAGACCTCGGAGCGTAAAGGGGCTGCAGGAAACCTGGAGAGGGGCTTGGGACAAGGGGCCAGGGCAAGGGGAATGGCTTTAACCTGCCCGAGGGGAGACTGAGATGAGCTCTTAGGCAGAAGCTCTTCCCTGTGAGGGTGCTGAGGCGCTGGCACAGGGTGCCCAGAGAAGCTGTGGCTGCCCCATCCCTGGCAGTGTTCAAGGCCAGGTTGGACACAGGGGCTTGGAGCAAGCTGCTCTATGGAAGGGGTCCCTGTTGTGGCAGGGGTTGGAGCTGGAGATGCTTTAAGCTCCCTCCAACCCAAGCCGCCTGCGGCTCTGTCAGGCACAGACCCCGGCGAGGTCCCGCCGGGCGGGGGCGCGATGCTCGGTCCAGCCCCGCTGCCTCCCTCTAGCGCTGCCCGCCCGCTGCGGGCGCAGAGGCCCCGGCGGGAGGCTCCGGGACCGGCCCGTTCCCGGTAACCGGGCTCTAGGGCGGGATCCGCGCCATGAATCCCGATGGAATCCGCGCTTCCCCCGGCCCCGGGTCGCCACGGCAACGGCGCGGCTCTGCCCTGCCCTGCCCTGCTCAAAGATGGCGGCGCCCCGCCCCTTTCCCGTCCCCAAGATGGCGCCGCCCACGTCAGCCCGGTTCCGGGCGGCGCGGCCATGGCGGCTC